AGACTGCAAAAGTAAGTTGACTGTATGCTGCTGCATAGGCACAAGTGTGGAATAAGCAGACAGTTGCATCTGATTAAGTTGTAATTACATTGTGTTAGTGTGGTGAAGGGTGAAGAGATTGGGGCAGTTAAGGATGTGTGCAAGCATGTTTGTGACAGTGTTTGGACAAGGGATTTAAGCTCTTTAAGTGGAAGAAAATACTTGAGAAGGGAGAGCAATAGAAAAAAGTGTCAGAGGGCTCAGTCCTCAGGTCCTTGGAGATGAGGTACTACATACAGTTAGGGAGCCAGAAAGAGGTTAGAATTAGAGAGTGAGACTATTTGAGCTCAAAAGTTTTGGTTGGTGGTAATGACCAGCTTGTAGCTAAATTGTAATTCAGGCCGAGTAGAGGACAAGGTTGTCAAAGGAGAGACAGCCGCGGACCTCAGGCCAAGACATTGGAAGGATCGTCTTTGTGGGTCCTGATGGCCAAGAAACAACTGGAGCAGTGTTACACAGAGACAGGAACTAAGATTTTTTTTTTTCGTTCCTGGACCCCAATTTATTTTTATTTTTAATTACAAGTATACGTGTATGTGAGTGCAGGAGCCTTCAAAGGCCAGAGCTGTTGAATTCCCAAGGATCTGGAGTTACAAGTGGTTGTAAGTCACCTGACATGGTTGCTAAGAATTAAACTCAAGTCCTCTGGAAGAGCAACAAGTATTTTTTTTTTTTTTTGGTCTTTTGAGACAGGGTCTCCCTGTAGTCCCAGCTGACCTGGAACTCACTATATATACCAGGCTCGCCTTGAACTCATAGAGATCTGCCTGCCTCTTCCTTCCAAGTGGTGGGATTACAGACATGCGCCACCATGTCCAGCCTAAGCAAAAAGTATTCTTTTTTTAAAATTTCATTTATTTTTATTTTATGTGTATACATGTATTGCCTGCATGTAGGTAAGTGCACCCATGTTGTGCAGTGCCCAAGGAGGACAGAAGAGGCTGTCGAATTCTCAGGACTGGAGTTATAGCTCAGCAGTTAAGAGCACTGGCTGCTCTCAGAGGAACTGGGTTTGGTTCCCAAGCACCTTGATGACAGATAACCATTTCCAACTCCATTTCCAGAGGATCTGATGCCATCTTCTGACTTCCACAGGCATTGCACACGTGGATACCCTTAGGTACATGCAGTCAAACACTCATACACATTAAAAAAATAAACATTTAAAAAAATATCTTAAAGGGGGCTGTACAGATGGCCCAGCAGTTAAGAGTGCATGCTTCTTGAGGCTGGAGAGATGGCTCACTGGTTAAGAACACTGGCTGTTCTTGCAGAAGACCCAGGTTCTAATCTCAGCACCCACATGGCAGTTAACAACTGTCCATAACTCCAGTTCCAGGGGATCTGACAGCCTCTTTCTGTCCACATGCACTGCAGGACATGGGTGCACTTACAGGCAATACACGAATACACATAAAATAAATAATTTTTTTTTTAAGTGCATGCTTCTCTTCCAGAGGACCCCAGTTCAGTTCCCAGAATCCATGTCAGGCAGTGCACAGCCATCTGTAACTCCAGCTCCTGGGGATCTGGCTTGCTCTTCTGGCCCCTATAGGCACCAGCATATACATGGCATATAGTCACACAAACATAAATAAAATCTGAAAAGAAGAAGAGGACTGGTGGGAACTACAGTAGATAACTGTGCCAAGTGTCCAGGGAGGTAGCCGATGACCTGCTTCTAACAGCCGTGGCCGGGGGGATGGGAAGCAGCAGTGAGGACGGAAAGCTTACAGCTCCAGGACCCGTGGTAGGAGATGGAAAAGGACCACCATCCGAGGGCTGCAGGAAAGAAGTGTCACCATGTCACAGATCATCACTGCTGCAGTTAGAGGGGCAGGCATTTCACAGTATCTGCCCTTCTATAAAGCCATAAGAGTATGCACTCATGCTAGTGACATGAATAAAAAGAATTGTTTCTATAAAAGCCATGGATCAGAAAAGGGAGCTCAGCTTGGTGTTTAGAAGGCAGGGGTCATTTTACGGGAAACGTCCATCATTTGGTAGTGTTGCCATGGCAGAATTCAAGGCTCGCATTTGTGTTAAAAAAAAAAAAAAAAAAAAAAAAAAGGGGGGGTTCCTTTTTTTTTTTTTTTGGTCTTTTTGAGACAGGGTCTCCTCCCTGTAGCCCCAGCTGTCCTGGAACTATGTAGACGAGGCTGGCCTTGAACTCAGAGATCCACCTGCCTCTGCCTCCCGAGTGCTGGGATTAAAGGCGTGCGCCACCATGCCCAGCGGTGGCACCTTTTAATTCCAGCACTCAGGAAGCTGGGGCCGGCAGATCTCTGTGTGTTCCGGCCAGAGCTACACAGTAAGCCCCTGCCTCTAGAGGGGGGCCGGGGGTGGAAATCCCACAGTAAAAAAAATTTTTTTAATTTAAATGCTATGTAGGCCCAACAGAATGTTTCCAAAAGTGCATTCAGCCATTCATTCAGTCACCCCATTTAAAGTGCTATTATGGCATGTATTAAGAGACAAAGCCTAACCGGGCTTGGTGTCACATGTCTTTAATCTCAGCACTCAGGAGGCAGAGGCAGGCAGATCTCTGAGTTCAAGGCCACCTTGGTCTACATAGTGAGTTCCAGGCCAATTGGGGCTACAGGGAGACCCTGTCTCAAAAGAAAAAAAAAGAGAAAAAGACAAAGCCCTAGACATTAACCTGGCTTCCTTGTTGGATTCAACAACGTGCTGCACCAGCAAGTGTTAAGTACAGCCGCTACCTGCAGGCTCACCAAACAGGGGTTATGTTACCTGGCAGCTTACCAGTTGCATGTTCATTCATTATTACTCAAGCAGATCAGCAGTCATCTTTTTTTTTTTTTTTTTTTTTTTTTTAAAAAAGCTATGTAGGCCCTGAGTAGCCTAGAACTCACTATTATAGGCCAGGCTGACCTCAGACTCACAGAGATGCACCTGCCTCTGCCTCCCAAGGTCTGGGATTAAAGGCATGGCATCTGCCACCACATCTAGCTTTTTTTTTTTTTTAATTTTGTGATCATGGAGTTGCTTTGGAAGGGAAGTACACTTAATCTTATATGACCTGGCTATCTCATAATTAGACTTAAATGCCAGCAAGATGACTCAGCATAAGAACACTTGCAGCACAAGCCTGGAGACCAGAGTTCAATCCTTAGAACCTATGTAAAGATGGAAGAAGAGAAACAACTACACAGAATTGTCCTCTGACCTCCATATACATGCCATAGCGTGTGTGCAATGCACAGACACCAAGCACACAATAAAATTAAAGTGGAGAAAAGTTGAAGGCTTTTACATTTATTTTTGAGTGTTTTGCACGCATGTATGTAAGTCACCCTTATGGAATGTCTGCAGAAGTCAGAAGAGGGCATTGATCTGGAGTTAAGGACTGTTGTTAGCCATCATGTAGGTGCTAGAAATTGAACCCAGGTCCCCTGCAGGAGCAGCCAGTCCTTTTAACTGCTGAGCCATCTCTCCAGCCCCAGTTGAAGGCTTTTTAAATTTCAAAAAATGCTGAGGGCTGGAGAGATGTCTCAGCCATTAAGAGTGTGTGCTACTCTTCCAGCAGACCGAGTTCAGTTCTCAGCATCCACATCAGGCAATTCATAACTGCCTGTTAACTAAGGGGCTAGAGAGATGGCACAGTGATTCAAGGTACTTGCTGTTCTAGCAGAGGACCCAGGTTCAGGTGTGTGTGTGTGTGTGTGTGTGTGTGTGTGTGTGTTTGAGACACAGTTTCCCTGTTCAGCTGTCCTGGAACTCACTATGTGGACCAGGCTAGCCTTGACCTGCCTCTGTCCAGAGTGCTGGGACTAAAGGTATGCACCACAATACCTAGAAAAATAAATTTAAAAAAAAATTATTCAAAAATATTGATTTCAGCCGGGCGTGGTGGTGCATGCCTTTAATCCCAGCACTTGGGAGGCAGAGGCAGGGGGATCTCTGTGAGTTCAAGTCCAGTCTGGTCTACATAGTGAGTCCCAGGAAAGCTGGGGCTACAGGGAGACCCTGTCTCAAAAAGACCAAAAAAAAAAAATGATTTCAAAGAATTTAATGTTTTCTCCAGACCCTTCAGTCACAATGAAACTGTAAAGAATTTTTTTATTGAAATAGGCATGTAAATAGTTGTGTTTGCCTCTATGTGACCTTGGCAGAACAGTAAACAAAAACAACAAAAAACCTAGGCTTAGCTTGTGTATTTGTAAAATGGAGGTTAAAAATTCATTTGCAGCCAGAGAGATGGTTCAGGAGTTAAGAGCACTGGCTGCTCTTACAGAGGACCCAGGTTCAATTCCCAGCACCCACATGGCAGCTAACAACTGTCTGTAACTCCAGTTCCAGGGGATCTGATGCCCTCTCCAGCATTGTATAACATGGGTGCTTTATTATATTCTATTAAATAATACAATTTGGCTGAAAATAGTGAAATTGTCTACTTAAATAATTTAGGTATTAGAATATACTTAAAATCTGGCGGGGCTGGAGAGATGGCTCAGCAGTTAAAGAGCACTGGCTGCTCTTGCTGAGGATCCAGGTTTGATTCCCAGCACCCACATGGCAGCTAACAACCATCCATAACTCCAGTTCCAGGAGATCCATCGCCACCTTCTGACCTCCATGGGCATCGCACGACATGGGTGCACTTAACACACATGTAGGAAATACACTCATACACATAAAATAAATCTTAAAAGTTAAAAAATAAAAATCTAGGAAGTCTGAGCCAGGTATAGGAGCACGTACTCCAAAGGATGGTAAGTTCCAGGCCAGCCTGGGCCATATAACGAGTTCCAATCTAGTATGGGCTACATATTGATACATAACACCCCCATCTCAAAAAAAAAACACCACTAACAACAAAAAAACACTGATTGTGATGACACATCTGTAATCCCAGCACTTGAGGGGAGAGACAGAAGGATCACTGCAAGTTCAAGGCCAACCTGGTCTACATAAGAGGCTTCAGGCCAACCTGGGCTACATTGTGAGATTCTGTGTCAAAGTAAATAAATGTGAAACCTGTTGCAGATAAGTGGCTATATAAGGTACTTTCCAATTGACAGTGCCACTGTGTGAGGACGTGGTAGAAAAATGCCTTCTTTAGCAAGATGGGCTGAACTGTGTTAAACTTGTTCATTCAGAGGGACTCCTGATACGAATTTCTCTGGTCCAACCATCACTTTCCTTTTCCCACTTAACCTTGTATTCACTTGTTTATCATCAACATTTATGATCATTTGAGAGTTACAGAGGTTTAATGAATCAGTCTTTTCTAGCAGCACTTAATACATTACTCATAGAACAAGCATTAACAGAGACACAGGCTACCTCATTTTCACAGTAATTTTAAGTCCCAGTGGTTAAAACCTTAGCTTCCTCAAAGAAGTTCAAACACTGATGAGTCCAGTGTGGCCAGTGTTTTGAATGGGGTGATAAAACCTTATCACATCCAGCTTGGCTATCTGTAACTCAGTTTGAGTCCATGGAATAGTTACTCCTTTTTATTACTTGTTTGGTTGTTATGCAGCCATGGAAGGAAAAAAGTGAACATCAAAATCATCAACAATATACCTGAAAGACAAAATACAGTAAAATGAAACCAAAACGGCCTTTTAAGGAAGGTGATAACTACTTGAGTATAAATTAAAATTATTATTCTCTCGTTTTTCTTTGATCCTTAAAATTACTATGTACTTGGTAAAACTAGTAGGGATCTAAACAGTGAATTCAAAGGACATGGAACCCAAAGGTTCATGGTTCAGTTCTGGCTCCATTATGGACTTGTTGAGAAACCCTGACTTGAGTCATTGGCTCCTGTAAAGTGGCAGCATCGTGCCTCAGGGTGGCCTGAGGAGAGAGGAACTGAGAGCTTTTTTTTTTTTTTTCTTTCTGAACAGATTGAACATAGATTTGTTAAAGAAAAGAAAGAATCCACAGAGCAGGAGGAGGCTCCAAAGGAGCCAGGGAATCTAGAGTGCTCAAAGCACAGTATGTTGGAACACTTGTCTCTTCATCAGTCCCAGCCCTTATAGGCTTTACAGCTGTATTGCGTAAAGTCTCGAAGCAGTGGACTTCAGTCAGTGCTGAATTTTAACGCTTTAAATATAAAAACAATTTTTGGGGGGGGGGTCTTTTCGCGACGGTCTTCCTGTATCCGCAGCTGGCTTGGAACTCACTATATAGACCAGGCTGGCCTTGAACTCACAGAGATACTCCTGCCTCTGCCTCCTGAGTGTGCCACCATGCCCAGCAATAATAAACAATTTTTAAAATTTATTTTTATGTGTATGAGTGTCCTGCCTACATGTGCACCTGTGTGTGCAATGACCGTGGAGGTCAGAAGAGGGCGTCAGATCCCCAGGAACTGGAGTTATATACAGTTGTTTAGCCACCATGTGGGTGCTGGGAATCAAACCCAGGTCTTCTGGAAGAGAAGTCAGTGCCCTTAACTGCTGAACCAACTTTCCAGCCCTAAATTTATTTATTTTATTTATTTTTATATGTATGAGTATCTTGCCTACATGTATAAGTGCACCACATGCATGCAATGCCTGCATAGGCCAGAAAAAGGTGTCAGATCTCCTAGAACTGGAGTTACAGACAGTTGAGAGCCACCATGTGGGTGCTGGGACTCAAACCCAGGTCCTGCAAGAGCCAGTGTCCAGTGTTCTTTCTTTCTTTTTTTTTCGGTCTTTTTGAGACAAGGTCTTCCTGTAGCCTCAGCTGTCCTGAAACTCACTATGTAGACCAGGCTGTCCTGGAACTCACTATATAAACCAGGCTGGCCTTGAACTCACAGTGATCTGCCTGCCTCTGCCTCCTGAGTGCTGAGATTGAAGGCATGCACCGCCACACCTGGCTAAGAGCCAGTGTTTTTTTTTTTTTTTTTTTTTAATAACCACATACTTAGAAGAAGCATTTCATTACAACAGCATTGCCATATTCAATAACAATTTCCAGAGCTAAGATGCATCTGTTTCAAAACTGGCTGTAAATTTTTAGGTTTACAGTTGAATTATTACAGTTATGCAATACTGTACTCAGTATAAACCCTATAAGACATAACACTAAATGAGGTTTAAGCTTTAAGAAAGATCTCCATTTCATTATTAAAATACATAGTTTCATACAGAAAAATTCATTTTTAATGCAATAGACATTAAGATGTTTGCACATGCATTTCTAATCTCTATATATCTGATTATTACTAGTCACAGTTGGTTACTTTCTGAGCTCCTTGGCATCTGAGCATGGATATAAAGTCATCAGGTAGATGTCAATGGTAATGTTTTTCACATCTACTAATTATTAGGGAGAAAATTGTTATGCTTTGAAGATATATTTTTTTAATCATTTAAAATTTTTTTTAATAACATGATTAGAAGAAGCATTTCACTACAGCTTTAACATATTCAGTAACACACTCCAGAGCAAGAGTACATCTCTTTCACAAGTGGCTGCAAGTTTCTAGTTTCATGGTTGAATTAATATAGTTATACAATATTGAACTCAGTATAAGCCCTGTAAGACATAAAATTGAATGAGTTTTGAAACTTTAAAAAAGATCTCCAAAGCCGGGCGTGGTGGTGCATGCCTTTAATCCCAGCACTTGGGAGGCAGAGGCAGGCAGATCTCTGTGAGTTCAAGGCCAGCCTGGTCTACATAGTGAGTTCAAGAACAGCTGGGTCTTACTAGGGAGACCCTGTCTCAAAAAGACCAAAAAAAAAAAATTCTCCATTTCATTTTAGAATATATTTTTCCTTGCAGAAACTTAATTGTTTTTGCTACTAACACTGAGATGTTGGCACATGCATCTCTAATCTGTAAGTATCTGATTATTACTAGTCATAATCGGTTGCACTTGGTTTCTTGGTGCCTGTGTATGTCTATAAACTCATTGGGTAGATTTCAATGGTAATGTTTATTACCTCTACTAATTAACATGATGTAAATGTCCATGCTTCCTCCTCAAATATAATACATTTTAAAAAATTTTATTTGTGTGTGTGCATGTGTTTGTGTATGTGTAAATCGCACAGAACATCTCAAACCACCTTATTCAACTATACACCCACTTCCCAGGTGGCACCTTCCCATACCCTCCCTCCCCCTACTAGAGCCCTTATACTCTGTTATCCCTGCTACTGTCTGCTGTGTTGTCGGCACCCCCAGCCATTCCCCAATACTTGCCCTTCTGGTGAGTCTAGTCAGCCTATCTAGAGGTCTCTGTTATAGGAGGGTCAGCTGTTCCTCAACTAGCAGCAATCAGTTGTCAATCTTCCTTTAGATAAGATTGGGGTCTGCCATTCATTTTCCCAGTTCTATGCTGGGTTACTATCTGGTAGTTCCGTTGGCCACCCTGGCCAACAACTCAAAAGAAGGTATCTCCTATCTGGCATTGTTGCTTGTTAGGTAGCTGTTAGCTATGCATATGGACTCTTAATAAATTACATTGGCCCCTTTAATCTTTGGTTATACTTTCATTTTGGGTGTTTAAGGCCATACAGTTGTCCCAGATAAACCAGTTTACTTTAACTGTTAAGGTCATTTGAGGATCTGTTCCTTAGGGGTCACATGGGCTTGGGAGGACTCCTGGCTCCTTTCTTTTATGAGTTCCATCTATGTGAAGATAAGTCAAAGGTCCTGCTTGACCATGGCTGGCTTCACTTGGAAGCAT